AGAGAAGACACTGGTTTGCAATGAGAACCCTGCAGCTGTAGCATCAGGTGGCATTAAAAAAAAAAAAAAAAAATGCCTAAGATGCAGGTCCCCCAGGTAATTCAAAGTAAAAATGGAGGCAGAAGGCTCTCTCTCCCTCAATACCCACAGCAGAACTACTACAAAAGGGTATACTGGTTTCATCTGCCCGCCACCATCCTCGCACCGAAGGGGACAACATTCTTGGATGAACTTCTCAAATTTTCTTAAACATTCTTAGATTTAAAAAAAAAAAAAAAAAAAAAAAAAAAAATTCCTTTCAAGTTAAATTGAGATTACACTTGAACTCCATCCAAGAGCGAAGCTGAACTGAATTATGATAATTAGAAAGCTGTGCCTCTATTTTTTTTAAGGCAGTACAGTTGATGTATTTTTTAAAAAGTTCATGCCAGAGAATATAAGTTCAGTATGTTCTCACATAATTAACATTTCCCACCATTAACAGTTTTTTGGTTTACCTATCAGTACTGTGTGTATTCCCAGACCTCAGTGCTACAGTCATCTTTTGCATGTACATTTAAGCCTGCCAGATCCTAGAAGACCCCAGACCGTACCCCTCCAGAGGTGGATGCTTAGCCTCTGCGTTGGTAAATTAGTCCACATTTAAATCTAAGCTCAATTTTCCAACACCCTGTCTTTCCCAGTTTAAAAAAAAAAAAAGTTAGTAATGCAGGATTGACAATGTGGCTCAATAGTTACAGGGGTTGCTATCATGCATGAGGCCCAGGATTTGATCCCAAGCAAGGGTATAAACCAGCCTATAATCCAGCATTTGAGCAACAGAAGCAGGAGCATCATCCTTGGCTACACAGTAAGCCAAAAGTCTGCTACATGGGATCTCTTCAGAAGGAGGAAAAAAAGAGAATGAAATCACAGACAGAGCCCTGGAAACTAGAATGAGTATGGAAAGGGAGTAGAAAGCACCAGGATAACAAATACCAGCTTGAAACAGGGGTGGGTGGGTGTATAGCCCTCCCCAGTTGGGCAGCCACAAAACTGAAAACACAGCTTCTCTGGAGAACCACTCCCAGTATCCAATCAGAAGAGAGACCAATGTGTGTATGTCCATTATCCCCAACCCCAGACTGAGGAAACCACCCTGAGACACCCAGCTACATAAGTGGACAAAACAGGAACTTGGGATCTGAGAGTAACCCACCCTGTGAGAAACACTGGCCCAATCCCAGCCCTGCAAAACCAAGACCTTCCATTCACTTGGGCCAAGTTTAAAAAAAAACAAAAAAAAATACACATTTCAAAATACATCTACTCTGACCCACTACAAAGACAGATCATTTCACATTTCAGCCTCAAGTTCAAACATGGAACAGTGCTAAGGAAGCCCTTAAAAGAGAAACTTGAAGGACCGGCACCTAGGTTCACAGCGCTAAAACTAAACAAAAATCCTACAAAAAAGACAGAGACCCAAATATTCCAGCATCACACACTACGCCCTGAAAACCAGAAGGGTGGAGCACCCTGTTAAGATATGCACAGTAGCTGCCACACAACAGGGTCTAAATTAGAATCTATCAAAAAGCCCAACCCTGAAATGGCGCTAAGGACAGACCTGATTGCTTCATCTTATACCTTGATGGATATGAAAAAAAGCATATCAATACTACATGACTTGGGTTCCAACTTAAAAATAAGATGAGCTAAAGCCTCTACACCTAAGAAAAGGTAAAATGAAACATGGTGGCTGCCATCACCAATGTCCAGACAGCCAAACACAGCCTATGTTGATCAATGAAGGTGAGCAACAGTGTATTTTTCTTGCTGAGTTTAGAAGTAGGACATAAGCAGTCTGCCATTCCAGTCACTGAACTCTTAAGGAGAAGCTGAACCTGCCTTGATTAACAAAAGCAGTGTTTTCTTGCAGTTGGATGAGAAAGCTTGCTTTAGACAGTATTTCTTAAACCTCATACATTAAAACAAACAAAAAAAGACAGAAAAAAGAAAAGAAACACAAAAATAAAAAATCAGACACTACTCAAAGTTTTATCACTCAACAGATTCAGCACAAGTCTCACTCAGAAAAACACACATACACTTTTTTCTGCTTTTTCATACTCCCTTGACTGTAGAATAGAATCAAGCACCAAAAATGATAGCTTCCAGGAGAGGGCCCTAATTTCTTTGTGTGGCTATGGTCATTATTTTTAAGTCCATGAGATCATAGTTATCTGTATAGACCTCTGGAGTGATAAGACACCACCACAATTTCCATTTGCAAGCAGTATAATTATGATTACAATTAACCCATAAGACATGAAATTAAAGAGGAAAACAATCCTACAAATGTTCAGGCTCTTCTTGTACAACGGCCCTGGGTTGGGGACAGAGGGGATCTATCCATTTCCAAAGCAGGCAACTCCCTAATGCTGCTAATGGCCTGTCTCACACTTGGGGTCTCCATTCTCTCAACTGCTCCGGTTATATACTTGTCCCCAGACAATATGTAGTCTAAATCCAGTAATGTGATTAAATGGATATTTCTCCCCAGATAGTCCCATGAAGATATGTCTTCTTACATTTGCTTCTGTGTGCAGAACCAGTTAAAATCAAAACTGGTTATGCATTACTTAACTAAATTTTTTTTCTTCATTTTCTGCCTTCTTCCCTAATTAGAAGACACCAGCACCCAGAGTACATGAACATATATAATTCCAGTTGTATGCAGCAATAGGGGCAGAGAAAGCAGGAAGGGCAGGAAGCTGACTCCCCAACAGGTGACCCTTGCAAGCCCACCCTTACCATTTCACAGTGCTGTGTAGGAAGCACACTCTTTTTGTACCACAGTACAAGCCAGAGTTACTCATTCAGAGTGACTGCAGCCTGGTCAGACTGCTAGGATGTCTGCCTGCTTCAGATTAAAGGTCACTAACTATATACATAAATCCTGGCCTTTGCTTGTACAAAATCTCCAATAATCCCAGAGTGCTCTCTAGAGTTTACAAAAAACCCTAGGAAGGAAGAACTCACACAAAGATTCCCCTACCTTTTTTTTTTTTTTTTTTTTTTAACTATTTTATAAAGGCAAAGTGTCTCTCTGGCTTTTTTTTCAAACTTGTTAAAAAATAAATAAAAAGTATTCTAATATTTCCCTAAGTATACAGTTTAAACAATACTTGCCATTACACTGAAAACAAAATGGTTTACTGAGGACATCAGCAAGATCCAGTAAGGGAGACAGCTTATCAGTTCATTTTTTTTTATACCAACAAAAGAATTGTAAACTGTTGAAAACCTGAAACCTGAGAGTCCAGCATAATTACACATTCAAAGAAATACTACACAAAAATATCTTGTGACCATTTATGGAAATAGGGAGATTAGAAAAATATGCCTTCCCCCTCTTAAAATCATCAGCAATTTAAAACCCTGCTGTTGACAAAGGTTCAACTAAACGCATTTGTCTTTCCGGAGCCTTGCTGTATGTAACTGGTTCTACTGTTTCCTTCTTAAGAGGAAAGATTCTTACCAAAGTTGGACCTAAGTCTGACCCTTACAAGCATTCAGATGTGCCTGGGCCCAAAAATCCTACTATTCTCAGAAAAGCGCAGACTAGGCTGAAAGGCAGAAGCCCCTGGCACAGCCTGTGCAGCCTGAGGACTATTCCAACCCCAGTCTCAAGGCAGATTAACCCCCACCCAAGAGCTCAGGCTTGCACAGACAAGTCACCCCTTGGCTCCGGATAGATCGCGTCTCCCTAACGGGAAGGATCTGTCCACCCGGGGAGCCACCTGCAGGTACTTAGCACACCCTAAACCAACAGACCACCTAAACTTTCAGAATGAATCCAGGCCAAAAGGCGGGAAGGAGATTGAATTCTGTTACTTTGCAGTATCTGTAGGAATTGAAATATTTTCCTTTCACTATTTTGAAATCTGATCGTATTTACAGACCTTTTTGCCCCAAGAACCTCGGCTCCTTTCAAATGCGCTATTTTAAAACCCGGCCTTTCTACGATCCTGATTCCTGGAATATCTGTCTGTAAGTTTCCAGCGCTGACTGAGATCAATTTGCATTTCTGTAAATCACAGACAGCTTCTAAGAACTTAACAAGTCTCCTGAGAAATGCTGGTGGCTGGTATTTCATTGTTTCATAAATATTTTTATACGGGTGACACCATTCAACTTTAAATAAATCTTTAAAAAGAAAGACGATTAAAAAGAAAGGAAAACCGTGGCCTGGGTTTTATTTTCATGGCAAGAAGTGTGAGCCTCTCATTGTTTTGACTTTTTAGAATGTATCTTTAATTTAAAAAAAAAAATACAATAAAAGAGAAAAAAGAAACTCCTAGAAGTTGAACTTTCTTTCAAACCGGCCTCTGGACTTTGAAAACAAGTGGTGCTGTCTGGAACAAAGGCTAAAAGTGTCCCCAGATTTTCTGCCCTCCTGGGGATCGTTCTCCTCCAATAAACAAACAAATCCCCCAGTATTTCCTACCGAGGGGAAGTTTTCCAGGGAGAGTCGGCTCCCGGGTTTGGTGGTAACTGCGACTCAGTCTTTTTTGGACACAATGTTTCTGCTGACTCCTGAAAATTTTCCACTTGAATGTGCACTGGAGCGGCGGCAGCGCTGGAGAGGCGGCAACCGCGAGAGAGCCCTCTTTCATCTCCGGGGAGGAGGAGCCCGGGTCGGCGCGGACCCCGAAGGGGCCGGGCGCCGGGAGGGAGAGTCGCCGAGCTGCAGGCTGTAGGCTGCGCGCCGGACGCTCTCCCCACCCGCGATCGCACAGAACTCGGCGCTTCCTGGACAAGGAGCAAGGAGCGCGGGAGAGAGGGGCGCGCATAACAGCGGAGCGGGGCCGCCTGTTGCCGCGCGGGGCTGCGGCCCAACTTGCAGGGCGGCGCGGCCGCTCCCCTCTGAGAGCCCTGGGAGCCGCACACAAAGCGCCGATCGCGGTGACGCCTAGGCAGCCCGCGCCCCCGCGTCCGCCCCGCGCGCAACTTACCTCGGCCGCCCGAGCGGGCGCGGCAAACTTCGGGAGGCTGGGCCGTCGCCCCTGCGCTGCTCCAGCCGGTACTCCCCGCGGTGCTCCCGCGCCGGGCCACCCCAGGCCGGCCTCGCCGGCTCCCGGGACAGGCAGGGCGCGCCGGGGCAGCTGCCCGCGCTCGGGCGACGCTGGGCGCTATAGGGGGTCAGCGCATGGCCTGCGCCCCGCCGCGGCCGCCCCGGGCCCGGGCCCCGGCGCGCGGACTCCCCGCGGGCTGGAAGCGAGTGTGCGAAGTACTGGGGGGCGCCCGCGGCGGGCGGCGGGGCCGCGGAGGCTCGGCTCGGCTCGGGCGGCGCGGCGCGGCGCGAGCGATGCGAAGAATGTGCGGAATGAGGACAGGAATGAAATGAACGCCAGGACCGAACTCGCTCCGGAGGGGTGGGGCCTCGGTGACGTCATGCCGCCGGGGCTGGGTGGGGCGGGGCCTGCCGCCGCGGTGACGTCATGTGTGTGGGGCGGGGAGCGCGGGGCGGGGCTCGGTGCCCACGGGGGAGCGGGCCGCGCGCGATGGCGCGCGCTCAAGGCTTTGTACGGTGTGAGGCGGGGTGGCCGGGCGCTAGGAAGGGTGGTGTGCGCGACTCCTCCTGCTGTGCCTCAGTTTACTTCTTCCTGGTGCGCACGGGCACAGGCGCTCCCGGGCTGGACGAAAGGTCGCTCTTCTGGAAACTGAGGCCCGGGCGGGCGGCTTCTCCAGCCGGCCACTGCTCCTTTAGCCCTTTCGCTTTACCCAAGTTCATGGTGCTCACACAAATCCTAGGCTTTGCGAACTACGGTTGGATCATCCCAGAGTTCTCGCTTGCCTTCCGCCCTGTCTTTCTGGAAATGAAGTTAACTCGTGCTGCGAGTTGCACTCTACAGAAGTCCTGCACCCGGTTAAATAAAATATGAAATAATAAAAAGTCTTCCTCTGCTGCAAAAGGCAGCTTCGTGCGGTCCCTTCATGGAGAAAATAAGGGTCAGTCATAAACGTTTGAATCTGTTTTTGGAGTGGGCGACGCTACAGTACTTCAGAAACTCGGGTAAAGTTAACGGTAGCCAGGACAGACATGCTGGCAGCTAGGGCTAGTTGCAGTCCGTAGTTTCCCAGAAAAGAGAGAGCCCTTCCCAGACTGGGACTTCCTTCTTTCAGCTCTGGCTTCAGAACAAACTAATGGCGCCTGTTTTGTGCTGGAGGATTCCCGGACAGTGCCTAACTCAGGAAAGCTAGTGGGACTCACTGCAGTGCGTTTGCTTAGAAACAGTGTTTACTGATGCGTTTTTATGACAAGAATATCTTTTATTGGTGTATTTTTATAAGTTTATATCAAGAGAATTAAAGACTCGCAAGCCGTTGGAAAAAGGTAATACAGAGACATTCTTTGTTCATTTTGCCCAGCTCTTCCTCAAGCCATGACAGCCAAAATTATATCACAATCGAACTATTAATTTTCGTGCAGATTTTTCAGATCTACTTGTACACAACTGTGTGTATCTGTTTAATTCTATACAATTTTCTCACATATATATATATATATATATATATATATATATATATGTCCACCACAGTCAAGTACAAATGTGTATTATTCTGGTCCAGTAATGTGACAGACTGACAATAAGAACCTCAACTGCCTATACAGATTATTAGAAAATATGCACGACTGTTTTCGCTTTAAAACCATGGCAGATGTGTTTCTTTCGAGAAAATTTCCTATAACTGCACCAAAGGGGGGGGGAAAAAGTCGGATCACAGAAGCTGGAGAGATGGTTCAGCGGTTGAAAGCACTGCTCTAGCGAAGGACCAGGCTACTGATTGTTACCAGCACCTATATGGTAGCTGCCAACAGTCTGTAATCCTAGTTCTGGGAGCACAGGGCACAAACATGGTTTACACACAGGCATGCAAAAACCTTCTTATATGTAAATAAATAAATAAGAGTTTTTTTAAGTCCAATAGCAGAGCCAGCCTAAGTAGTGGGTAAATTTCTAACCCACTGTTTACCTTGCCCATGACAGGCTAGTTAACCTTCAGACTCCAATTGTTCCTGGTGATTTGGTGTTTTCATTCTTACTAACATTCAAAGCTATTTGTGGTGTGCTATAATTCCTAGGCCAGTACTTTCTACAACTTCTCCCACCAACACCCACATTCTTTGATATGTATATTTAAAACAAAAATCCTTTTCTTCAAGAAAGTCTGTTCAGCTGGAGCCAGGCATAGTGGCACCTGCCTATTATCCCAGCAATCCAGAGGATGAGGCAGGAGGATTGGCACAAGTTTAAGGGAATCCTGGGCTAATGAATTAGATCTTGTCTGGAGAAGAAGAGGGGAGAGAAAAAGAAGGAAATGGGGGAAGGGGAAAGGGCAGGGAGGAAACTGGTTATGTGGATGTCTCCTTCCCAGGATCTTGAAACCACTAGGTCTACTATGTCAGATGTGTTTGTTCTATCAGTTCACAGTATGTGTGTGTTAGTGCTCATACTTACTCATATAAGACAGTGGCAAGGTCTCATTCAGCTAGGGGTACTCTATCTAGAACCTACTCACCAACAAGTCAATCATCATCTCTCTACCCATCTGTGCCATACATTGCACTCTCCTCATCTCACTGGTCAATAAATAGGACCTATGAGTCTGGGGCTATGCATGGTTGAATCCATCTGAGGGCATATATACGGGAGGGGTGTTACCTACAGAGACCAGACGAAGGCGTGAGATCCCCTGGAGCTGGAGTTATAACAGTTGTAAGCAGCACCATTTGGGTGCTGGGAACAGAAAATAGTAAGCACTCTTAACTGCTGAACCATCTCTCCAGCCCTGGGGTAAGTAAGTACTGTTATTATTCTTGATTTACAGACAGGCAAGTTGAGGACCAGAGAAGTAAGATAACTTGGACTGGGGTGTGTGTGCTTAGTAAATTCAGAGCAAGGATGCAAACCCAGGCAGCTCCACTTAAGACTTGGTGCTCTTAGCCATGCTCTCAGCACCTCCAGTGAACTCCATAGAACCTAAAAGGTCACTGTCCTACAGGGGCCACTAACCCCCCCCCCAAGATGTAGCAACCTTATATGCTAGGTAATGATACAAAAAGTCCATGTCCCTCAAGCCTTCCCCAGAAAGAAGCTAACTGATAACTTGTAACACATAAGAGACCATGCCAGCCCCGCAAAGGCCCCATCCCACCCTAAGTTCCTATGACACACCTCCCTGAGAAAGAGAAGAGGATCCCAGTCCTCTGAGCTGGCAGAACCCTGGGGAAGGTCATGGCCAAGAAAGTTACTTCTTTCCAAGCTAAAAATCCATTTGTAACAATAATTTGTTTTTACTACTCAAGCTCCTTTTCTTTCTCTCCTTCTTTTTTCCTTTCCTTCCTCTTTTAAAGACAGGGCTCACCATATAGCCCTGGCTGGCCTGGAATTCACTATGTAGACCAGGCTGGCCTCAAGCCCACAAAGATCCACCTGCCTCTGCCTCCCCCCACTCCCCCACACACCACTCCAGTGCTGGCATTAAAACATGTACCACCACTTGTACCATATCCAGTTTTTTTGATTGTTTTAGTTTGGTTTTGGTTGTTGTTGTTGCTTTCAGAGTCTTATATAGCCTGAGGTGGCCTCAAACTCACTATGACCTTGAATTCCCCATCCTCTCGCCTCTGCTTCCCAAGTGCTGGGATTATAAAATGTACAACCACCTTGTTTCTATGAAAGTGGAAATCTGTGTATGTAGAGTCAAGTCCCTGCAATCTGTGACACAGCTCCAGTCTGAGCTGAGGTCATTCAGGCAACAATCCTTGGTGTCGTGGGACACTGGCATGTGCAGCACAAAGTGTACATATTGTATGTTCAGATTTAAGGCTGAAAAAAAAAACAGCACAGGTAAGCACCGCCAAGAAAAAGAAAAAGACATTAGGATTGATTTTGAAATGGTTTTTGGTCACTGCACACTAAGAACCCCTTCACTGTTATCAGAGTCTTCATAACCCTCCACTTTCAGTTAAGTGACCCACAGGTTAAGAAGCCATGGTTCACAGAGGTAGTTATTTCAGAAGCAAACTAAAAAGAACTAAAGACAAATGACATGATTGGCCATACAGCTAGGTTGTCCGGTACATTGCAATGAGGACAGGAACCAGGGTGGGAGGGGAGGGCTTGGTGGGGCTGGCAATGTGCTCCTTTTGCCCAATTACTGAATATCCACTACAACAATTTTTTTAACCCTTTCTATTGTTATTGTGGTTGTCATCCTTTTGAGACAGGGTCTAACTATATAGCCTGGCTGGCCTGGAAATCATTATGTAGACCAGGTTGGCGGTCTACCTGCTTCTGCCTCTCAAGTATCTATTGTATTTTTACAGTTCTGTTGTTTTGAGACAGAGATTCATGTAGGCTAGATTGACTACAGACTCACTACAGAACTGAAGATGACCTTGAACCTCTGATCTTCCTAATTCAGCCTCCCTAAATGTTTGAGTAACAGGTATATACCTCCTCATTTATATCTATAATTTTTAATTTTATTTTGTATAAACAATGTTTTGCCCATATGTATGGCTATGTACCACTTCAGTGCCTGGTACTTGAAGAAGCCAGAAGAGGGCATCCAATCCCCTGGAACTTGAGTTACAAATGGTTGGGAGCCACCATGTATGTGCTGGGAATTGAACCTAGGTCCTCTGGAACAGTAACAAATGTTAACTACTGAGCCATCTCTCCAGCCCAAGATCTACATTTTTTGAGAACTTTAAGATGCATACCACTATTCCACTTCTTCCCAGGGACCAGCAGCTTCCCTGGGTTCTAAATCACAGCCCTTCTACTTGCAAAATCCTTTCTGCAACCACTGTACCCTCTCTCCCTTCCAGATCTTCAACTTCAGATGGGATCTTTCCCTTTAGCATTTAAGTGGGCACAAATCTCTGCCCCATCCTTAAAGAAAGAATGACAAACAGACCTTCTGTCAGTCTCTCTTCACCCCAATCTCTGTCTCTGTCTTCACTTTCACTGTAACCCTTTCTGAAAGCAACTGTTAGACCCCACTGTCCTTTATTTTCGCTTCCTTCCCATCAATTCTGATTCTCCAGCCTCTCTAGCTGGGCTTCCCCGCTCATCTACTCCATCCAT